TATATATATATATATATATATGATTGTGCATAACATTTCACACTTGTCTACGTTCAGGCTCTGTGTCTAACAAATTACGATACAGCAATCTTTATAACAAAGAAATTAGTCTCTTATTTACCTAATGATCTTATTCTGTAGTCATTTTCTTTTATGTGGAAAATTGTAGTAATTCAAGTCTAATCCACAATACATTTATTCATTATGATGAATAGGTTTTCAGTTCGATGCGATACTGTACTCGAACGACGAATTACCTCCTGCCGTACTCAGTCCATGACATAATATTGTTTGTTATATATCATTAATTGAGTGGATAGAAGGTAATTTCACTTGGAGTGAACAAAAGGGGCCTACTTTATCTCCATATAACCGTATAATTCGCATCCGTTCGGCAACTTTCTGTAAAAGATCATCAATAACTTCGCATGCGCCACCGCGTATTTCAGCCATCACGCTCAATAATTCTTTCATTTCCACCAACGATGTCGGTCGTTTCTGAAGCACACGACGTTTGGTCTGGCGAAACAGGAGGGAGAAAGTGAAGAAAGCATGCAGATCGACGATACCGGGAAGACCATTCACTTTAGAGATGATATTTTTCTATCGATTCCGGTAAGTTGGCAGGTGTGCGTAGCTCCCCATATCATATTTACCTCCAGGGTGACTGATCTAACCAGGAAACCACAGTGGGACGGATAATACATGTGCTTTCATAATTTCGTCCTGTGAGCCATCCGGAACTGTTCATTTTTAAAGTAATGTATTTCCAAGGAGGGAGATGAGGCTCGACTTTTACTCATTTTGGTTTTAATAATTTCTCACTTTACAAGCATACAATTAAGTTCAATTTGAAACCTAACAATTGTTTTCTTGAAGATTTTCGAGTATCATTCAAACTGCTATGAAGACATTACAAATCAGGTGGTCAGCTGACGTTGTCTGAACGACAGTGCATTTCAAAACAATTGAAATCCAATCAAACGCTTATCCTGCTCCGGCTAACGATCCTGAGATAAGTCAACAACAGACCTATATTATCCCGGGAAAGGCCGATATGGAGGTGTCACACCCACAAGCCACATAACTCACCCAGATTTGAATCTAAGTGGGAATTTGATTCGTGGTCACCAGGTGCCTGATTTGTTTGTACAAATAACTAGTTGACTCATCCTCAGTAATGAAGTTTGTCTGTTTGGTAACAAATTAGATGATAAACGAAAAATTGCTAAAAAATTTCCTACAGTTCTAGGTGTAGGAACATCAAGTTACTAAACGTCAATTCACACACTCGACTCACAATAATCATCTTTAACACTGTGTTGTAGTGATTCTCGGCCGCCTCGTACAGATAGCGCATATAGATCCGAATCCAATCGCGTAAATTGTTAGTCACATTCAAAAAGAATGAGGACAACCGAAGAGCGATTGCACCCGCGTAGACTATTCTTTTTGGTCCGAGAAGTCGATCCAAATTTTGCCAACGTGAGCACAGATAAATTATGCGTAGCTCGAAATCCCGGGTGGTTTGCGTTTTCGCGTGCAGCCATTTTTCCACCACATTTTGCTATGGAACACAGAGTGTGATGGGAGCGAATAATGGAACGGTGAAACGAATCAGATCATTAAAATCGAATTGGATCAACTATAGCGCGAATCAAACACAAACGAAGATAGTAGATTCGGTCCTATGCTCTTCGGGTAGTCGGTGATGTGAGACAAAAAACTCACGTTTTTTACCAGATTATCAATTTGGTGAGATATGGTTTCCCTATATAGTGACAGCATTGATCATGTACTGCGTAGAGAAGATAAATGGTCAGTGTTCTTGAGGTCCAGTTGTTTGTACCAGCAGATAGCTTCCTCGGTATGTCACCGGTGTAGTCTCTTTTCTTATATCTGCCATTCTCTCCGTAAAACGCACCAAGACACTCAACGATGCAGTTTCAAACTACGTTCAGCAAATTCCTATTGTTTTTTTGGAAAAAAGTCGTAGGAAATTTACTTCAAACGTCAAATGAAATTCTTTGTTCTCAGAAAGATATTGATAATCTAGCAGTGACTAGCAAATACTACTAGTACAGTGTGTTTCACAACCAAAGTACGGGGATTAAAATTGATGGTTTTCACCAGTGAGATTCGGTAAACTGAGACAACTGTAGCGTCTGAAAATTTAGCGAGAATCCCCACTTTCTATTGGAGCTCTGTCAGATCCTAAGTTCTCACGAGGAGACATGTTTCTCAAACCCATCTACATCCACACACAGATGAATAAGTTCATGTAATCAACGAATTTTAAGGGTGATGCGGACACAAACAAAGACCTCATATTGCTTACCTTATCTTGATGCCAAAGAATGGAATATCGAGCCAAACGTTTCAGGAATTCGACCACATTCCGATTCAAATGTTGCACACGCTGATTGAACGCAGCATCCGGTTCGCGCAATTCCGGACACCGCTCCAACTCTTGCACATAGTTGAACGTGATCATCTCATCACCCTCGGATCGAACAGTCGGACACGGTTCACAAGTCCCATGTTTCCAACGCAGAAAATAACGACAACTGATCGAAAGCGGAGAGGCAGAGAGAGAGAGAGAATATGGCCAATAGTCTTGGCAGTGGACATATGAGCCACTAATTTCATCTCCACATTTGTGTGAGTCAAAATGTGGGTCTTATGCATGGGTGACATGAATGAGCCCTGTTGATCCATCAGAAACCGTAATAGATGCTCGACAGGGCACATGAGAAATAGGATTTGTATTTGTACAACTTTTGCAAGCTGCAATATGCTTACATTCCAGTTAAAAATTGTACACTGGTCGTCACACTGGAGAAAATATAGAAGTATGAACAAATTAAATAGAGTGCTGTGTAAAAAAAACAACAAATAAATGTCTATAAAGTTTGATTCATCCAATTCAAGATTTACGTAATTCATTTATAACTCATTCCTTGTTGGTCAAGATGCAAGCCAGATACGGCACAGTGGAGTTTTTTATAAATGTTTATTCGGGAGGGTAGGTACCGATAAGAGATAAGGATGAAATGTCTGAACGAAATAAATCACATCTGTAGCTTAAGGTGCAAGTTTCTGTCACTCCGATAGTACACTGCTATTTGGCTGCATACATATAGGCAATTTCGCTTGATCTGTTTTTTCTGGAGCAAATTCTAAGAAATGACAGGACCGAAAGCAACTGATGAAGTTGTACACGACGTGTACACGACGTTCCAATAGTCATCTGATGCGATTAATGAAAAGCAAATACTGTGACGTCACTAACGCATGTAACATGCATGCGAATATATTAACTTCTTCCTGGCGTAGTAGTGTCGAAGTGAATTGGTAACAAAGTACAGTTTGGTATGGTATTATCACACAGTTCCAAGGAGTTAATTTTTGTCTCAGGTTTGATGTTTCCCGGTCAAAGGGATTTTGAAAGCGGAGACGATGGTTTTGCCCAAATATCCCAAAAGCGATAAGGAGAAGACTAACCTTTCAACACAACCGCGCAGAGTCTGTGTCATCCATTTGTACAAATCAGCACTGACCGGATAGAGGACCACATCAGAATTGACAAGCATCACGTCGATGTAGAAAATTGGTTGTCTTCCGCCAAGAGCGTTAACAAATGACCACATATTCCGGAGTACCATCTGCAATATGGAAAATGTACCTAGTGAGTTGGAAACATGTGCGATTGAAGAGTGGAACGAATTTAGAAAGATGAAAAATCAGACATCCATTCGAATTGGAAATACCCCCGCTCAACATTACCTCTGGTGTCCCATTATGATTAAGACAATGAAGACTGATTGTTATGGGCTACAATGAAATCTAAGCACCCAGTGAATTCATGAATGTGTCAGAAGCGAATCTACCTGAAAAAGAAACAACGATTTGTCATTGAGACCTAAGAAAATTTCCCTTGAACTCCCGAATTGTTTTACAGCTTGTGATATCTGCTACTTAGGTATATTCGGTGACCTGTCAACACGTTATTCTTACTCTCGTATCCCAAAGGTCATCCGGGGACAACTGAAAAGTTCCAAAGTTGAACAGTCCGCGAGTGAATATTCATTACGCCTCCACAATAATTGCGTAGGCTAACTGAGTCTGAAACTCACAAATGTTCACCATCTCGGGACTCTGTTTTATTTTTCATTTGAAAAGTAAGTTTTCCGAATGGATGCTGGAGACTCTATGTTAAGGCATACTTCACTGACCATTCGTCATTATACACTGTATCCTGGCTTAATATGAAACACGCAGTGCACATTACAATCCAACATCATAATTTCATTTGGGATGAGGTTTTCACAAATATATTCCTGAAATCCCTTTTTGTTCCTACGGGGTATTTCGGTTTGGCTTGTATTTGCCCCAGTGGCTTTATGAATCACATTCTGTTTCCCGGTCTGATCAAAAAGGACTGTAANTATTCCCCTTTTTTCCCCGTAATTGACTATATAGCCCTGATTCATCTTATGCGGTATGTTATAGCTTAGGTTTGGATAACTTATAAAAAATCCGTTAATGTTAACTGTATGTTCCCACACCATACAACGTGATCGTAGTGTGTCTATCCCTCATTCCCACATCTATGTATGACCGAGGACAAATGAATTGCCCAGTGATTGCGAGCTTCCATTCTCCAATTGTATCTGCTGTCAACTGGCAACCTCGGAATTCAGTGTCTCTGAGTCATGAGTACTAAGTGCTAAACTAAATGGACTATAGTTGCTGTTCTTTTTGCCCATACGGCTGTTACGTAACTCCCACATACCAACTTATGGAGGAGTTTAACTGATAGTCCGACTTGGCGGTCTTTGTTTAGTTTGATTGATCTGACCAATACGAATGCTTATACGAGGATACAACAGCGCGCACATTCGTGTAACGAATTTGTCATGCAGCATTTGCGATTTCTCCGCCAATCCACAGCCGTGTCAAGCAAACCATTTGACGACTTGTATGTGTGTGTGTATGCATAGGGGAGATCGTCAACTGGAAACACGGGACCATGAAATTAATTGTATGAAAGAAACTGGAAGCAATGTTTTCCCGTCACAAATTTGAATAGAGAAGTCAGAAACATGGGTTTGCACAATGTATCCATGGTCATTTCGCTGCATCTGTACACGTGCATACTGCAGTCAAAGTCATTTTATATAGTCAGTGAGATAA